CCAAAACCCCCAAACCAAAAAACAAACAAACAAAAAAAGGATGTGTGTGTGTGTGTTTGTATGTTGATGTGAATCCTGCACAGGTTTTTTAAAATTTTGATGTTCTTTCCAAGGATGTGATAAGCTGCCCATGAAATCTCTTTATTTTAGATGTTTATAGGCAGAGATTTGAGACTAGGTCAGGACTGAGGATCACACAACTTATTTACAGATAAGAGAGGGGAAAGGGAAGGAAGGGGGGCTGGTAGGAATTTAACCTCCAAGGAAGTGGAGAGGAAGAACACAGTGTGAAATGAACACCCGGAGAAGAAACAGGAGCCTTCACTTGCAGAGCTTAACGCTCCCTCGGTCTCTTTGATTTTTACTATCACACATTTTGAGAGATTCTTTCCTCCAAATAAGAAATAATCAAAATTTCGTTCCTCAAAATGGTTTTGGGCTGACATGTGACCATCCCACTCTCTTTGAAGTGAAGTTGTTTATTTTTAGGTGCATGCAGAGGCTGGAGTCATCCTGGAAGCCTGTAGTGTTCACTGGAGCAGCAAATTTCCTGAGGAAATCATACATTTTTCACCTATCAATCACAAATATTCATGGGGTAAATCTTCTGTGCAAGAATTGTAGGTTGTGTTTAAATGGCTGATTGCTGAACCATTGCAAAGCTATAAATTAAAGAGTATTTATTTAAACTCTTTAATTCATTGTTGGGTCACAAGATAGAAACTGAGACCTTATGTAAGAGTGGCAGAGACTTCCAGACATGCCAAAGTCAAGCTGAGTTTTCATTCTTTTGATTTAAGCAATTTAGAAAGAGCTAAGATATTTTGGAGTGTGGCTTTCTCTCTATCCTTTTCTGATGAGCAGCTTTTCATATTTCAGCTCACTAATTTTTAAATAAAAAGTAAGTCACTTTAATTTGTGTCAATTTTACCTAGATTTGCATCAATATTCTTTTTACTTAAAGTGGTACAGTAAATGAACTGTCTACAAAAGAAAAAAAGATATTGATGCAATTGCCATTTGAATTTAACAAACATAAGGCAATTCCATAAGCAACAGAAATAGAGATTGGTATTAATATTATTTTTAAAGAAAAGTTGTTTCATAATTCTTTTTCTAGAGATCTTTGTTAAAAGGTCCATACTACCCAAAGCAATCTACAGATGTAATGCAATCCCTATCAAAGCACCATTGTCATACTTTAAAGAGCTTGAAAAAAAAAACAGTGCTTTGTTTTATACAGAATCAGAAAAAACCTCGAATAGCCAATACGTTACTCAGAAATAAAAACAAATCAGGAGGTATGTTACCAGACTTCAGGCTATACTATAAATCTATAGTTTTGATCACTATAGATGATGGTACTGGCACCAAAACAGAGAGGTAGATTTATGGAACAGAATGAACCAAGAGATGAACATGGCTACTTATCATCATTTGGTCTTTGATAAGCCAATCAAAAACATTTAGTGGGGGAAAGACTCCCTATTTAACAGATGGTGCTGGGTGAACTGGCTGGCAACCTGTAGAAGACTGAAATTGGACCTCCACCTTTCACTATTAACAAAAATTGATTCTCAACTGGGTAAAAGATTTAAACTTAAGACATGAAACCATAAAAATACTAGATAAGAGTGCAGGGAAAACACTTGAAGAAATCAGCCTAGGAGAATATTTTATGACGCAGTTCCTCCCCCCCGCCCCCCGGGCAATTGAAGTAACACCGAAAATCCATTACTGGGATCTGATAAAACTAAAAACCTTCTGCACAGCCATGAGAACAATAAGTAAAGCAAACAGACAACCTTCAGAATGGGAGAAGATTTTTGCGGGTTATGGTTCCGACAAAGGTCTGATAACTAGAATCTACAGAGAACTCAAACTAATCAATAAGAAAACAAATAACCCCATTTGTATGTGGGCAAGAGACTTGAACAGAAAGTTCTCTGAAGAAGACAGATGCATGGCCTATAAACACATGAAAAAATGCTCATCATCTTCAATCATCAGAGAAATGCAAATCAAAACCACTTTGAGATATCATCTAACTATAGTAAGATCAGCCCACATAACAAAATCCCCAAAGTTCAGATATTGGCATGGATGTGGAGAGAAGGGAACACTTCTTCACTGCTGGTGGGAATGCAAGCTAATACGACCTTTTTGGAAAGAAGTTTGGAGAATACTCAAGGAACTAAAAGTAGACCTATGGTTCAATCCTGTAATTCCTCTACTAGGTATATCCCCAGATGATCAAAAATTATTTTACAACAAAGATATTTGCACCAGAATGTTTACTGCAGCCCAATTCATAATTGCCAAGACTTCGAAACAGCCCAAGTGCCCATTGACCATGGATTAACAAATTGTGGTATATGTATGTACACCATGGAATACTATGCAGCCATAAGAAAGATGGAGAGCTCACATCTTTTATGTTTATCTGGATGGAGCTGGAACATATTCTTAGTAAAGTATCTTGGGAATGGAAAAAAGTATCCAATGTACTCAATACTATTATGAAAATAATATATAATCACCTACACATTCATATGAAAGGTAAAACATAACTATAGTCTAGGAAGTAGAGAGCGAGGGAAGGGGAAGGGGGAGACGGGAGGAGAGAGGGTATAAATTATCTTAGCACAACAAATTAAGTGAGGTGATGGATGTGGTAGTCAGTTCAATGTAAGCATTTCACATTGTATATCAATCAGTACACTGAACCCCATAAATGCATCAATGTACACAGTTATGATTTAATAAAAAAATAAAGAAAAGTTGTATCTATTTAGTTCAACTTGGACTTAATATGCTACTTAAGTGATTCTAGATTATTAGAAGGACAGTGGGTACTGTCCTTTGTCTTCCTTTTTAAAAAAAATCAGCATTGTTGAGTTTTGCTTTTGTGCCACGGTAGTTGAGCATTTAAAAAAACTGTGTAATTTAGTCCTTAGGTTGCAGAATGTTAGAAGGATAATGAACCCTGACACCACTAAGAGGTACCGTGTGCAGGGTGCAGTAGCTAAGTGCAACTTTGGTCTGCCGTTTGTGGCTGTCCCATGAAAGCTGGGTCTTGGTTGGTGGGGCACGTATAGAACTGCAGGTGTGGAAAGAATCATTTTTGTGTTTGAAAGGATATCATATAATAGAGATGAAACACTGCTTGCCCACTCATATCCTCATCTCAGGAAAGCACCTTACTCAAAATCCCCACTGAGGAAATTGTGGCCCTTGTGTCACTGGAATCTCAGAAGGATAGGGATGAAAAAGTAGCCGTGGAAATGATGGCTAGACATTTCCCAAATTTGGCAATTTGATTTAAAAAAAGAGTAAGTAAAATACATTTTTATTCTCTGAAATTTTCTGCATTCTGTTTGACACTTGAAGGAAAAAGAATAACATTGTATGTGGCTCTTACTGTTGTCTATATAGGAACTATTTAAGATAATCATAAACGGCAGAGGTCAAAGAGTTGAAGGGAAGTAAGGTTTCCACACTTCATTCAAACAGGCAAAATGTGGGTACCAGTAGATTTTGTGGCAACAAAATGGTTCAAGTGGTTCTATATTTTGATTACAGTGCTGGTCCCCAGAATCTACACATATCGTCAAATATGAACTCTTCATATACATGTAATAATGCTAATGACCTTGTTTTCATATAGTATCACAGATGTAACTGTTGGACACTAGAGATAACATCATAATTTCCTGTAATTCTATAATTATTTCAAAATTAAAAGATAAAAACAAAAGATGATGGAATACAGTTTCTTGAAAACGATGAAAGCAAACATTAAAGTCTCATTATGATTCTCCAGCCATAATCAACGTTTTAGAAGAATGAAAGTTTTGTTTCAGAAGCAAGGTGGTGGATGATATGGGTTAACTGATTTTCTTAAATTTAAAAATGTCATGTGGAAGAAAACATGTAATGGAATAATAAGAATATTAGAGGAAAAGGAAATTCAACGTTGGTTTTAAAGAGAGGACAGCGATCCTACCCAGAAATTCAGAACGAGCTTCTGTCTTCATCAGATCTGACGCCTCTCGACAGACACGGATCTCTGAAGCTGATTAAGCAATATTAATTTTAATAATATTACTTATTTCCTTTGAAATCATAAACTATTCTAGAGATTAAACACTAATTAAACTTTGATAAGTTCTGATATAGAGATAATTTAGGCTAATTATTTTGTCCTATAAGTTTAATTAGAAGTTATTAGAATTAGTACTCTCAATAGCTCAGATAATTGGAAGACAAGGTAAAAAAAAAGAAAAAAGTCTAGGCATAGTGGCTCACACCTGTAATCTCAGCACTTTGGAAGGCTGAGGTGGGAGTATCAGTTGAGGTCAGGCATTCAAGACCAGCTTGGGTAATATAGTGAGACCCTGT